TGTGTAGGGAATCAGTGCATCCTTACATGAAATCAGGAACACTGGGACTGTGGCAGCTAGATCTGAATGTTTTGGCAGTAGCTATACAAACTGGCTTGCAATGTTTAGGCAGCAATTATCACCTCAAAGTTTGTTCCACAACATACCTTCACCACTGCAACCTGAGAACACAGCAAATGAGTCCGTTACAGAGACTTAAAAATCTTACCTTTTCACATGGAGTCCAAGAATAGTCTATTAACCTGTAGATCATGAGGGAAGACCCCTCATGAATAGGAATGATGTCCCAAGGACAATTTCTTAAGGGAGTTTGTTTATTCATTTCTCCAAGTGAGGACAGAGCTGGACAGAGGGTTGATAACAAACAGACACTCACAAGATACCCTATCTGGGAACACAGCCTGCAAAATTGTGAGTAATAAATGTTTGTCATCGATGGCTCACCCCTTTGGTGGTATATTTGTTATAGGAGCCCAAATAGACTCAAATAAAAACTAACCGGCAAATTGGTGCATGCTATAGTGTATATGTGAGATGAGACTTTCACACCTGTCTTAATTGCTAGGATTCCTGTAGATGAAGAAGTTGGTTTATAGGTTTCACAAGATACTTATTATAACTGGTTAGGGTCCAATCTCCTGAGTATATGAACAACCTTAAAAATGAAGACTTTGCCATGTCCCAAGTTGGTCCCAGAAACTGAACCTCAGAAATGAGCTCATTGTACTTAAATGTACATGGCACACTACCTTTACTGATCCAAGTGTACTAAGTACATGGTCCCATTTTCACTGGCTCTGACTTTTAAATGGAAAGGTTTTTTTTATCTCTCTAGATCAAATGGAGAAGCTGTTGTTGATCTTTATCTAGAAATGCCATTACCGGGATAAAGTACATGGGAAAAAATGCTGATAGACCCAAGGGAGAAAACTACAGTGCGTAAGATTCTTCTAGATGAACTATCAAATAATAAGTATTCTTCAACTAATGCATGGTTCACATCTATAATCCTAAATTCTCAGGATCAGGATCTTGCTTTTTCCTCAAGAGACTCTTACTTCCAATGAACTAGTACAAAATCCAGAAGTAGACATGTGCTTCAAATAGGGTAGTGAATCTTGAGTGTAAAAGCCAACCAAATGGACAAGGCCTTGAGTTCAATCCTTAGTACCAACACACACACACACACACACACACACACACACACACACACACACACACACGAATGAATGACTTCATACTTTGTCCATAATTAAGTTGCTTTTTTATCCCACCCAGTTGCTAAATATTCTCCAGGATGTACCAAAGTAGGCAAGATTGTTGATTATCTAAAGTTATGTTTTATCCCAAAGGAAGTAGCACTGCATACAAATCACATCTATCAGCTGCCAACTCATCTGCACATTTGATGCTTTTATAGGTTATCTCAGGAATGGAATACAGGAAACACATATGAAAAAGATGTATCAACCCTAAATCTATCTAGAGAAATTTTTGCAATTTTTCCATTTGGATTAATAATGTTGATTTGATATCAAACATTCCTGCAGCGAGCACAAATCCACTATAGTGTTGTTCACTGATCTTCTTAGCATAAGTTGTGTATCTTACTCAGCACCTTACATTTGCATCTGGCTTCTGCCTAGATGTCTTTCATAAGATTTTATCTACCTCCTCGTCCACCCATTTTCTCCGCTACCTTACCTCATACTCTTGACTTAGAGATCTCATTCTCAGGAATAAATTCAACCTCATTTTCCATAGTGCAAAGTTTATAAACCTGATAGCACTAGGAACATATTTAAATCATATTTCTGTCAAGCAAACTCCACACGAAACATAGGTATAGCATATATCCCTGAATTCAACTTAAAATATTTTGCAGAGTCTGCATACTCAGGTCCTAATAACAGACAACTCACTCAAATCTGCTTTAATTTGCATGAATCCAATAAATTGTTGACTTTTATAAATCAAAAGGAATACTTTTAAAGACGCATGGTCTTTTATACATGGTCTTTTAGCTCTCTCACATGAGACAATCTTTCCTGAAAGGACTTATAGGCTTCCTACTATCTTGTATGGCTCTCTTTTAAATATATTTCTACAGGTTTATTTCAATATGCATTTCAACCATCTTCATTACCTTTGTGTGATTTAATTAATTTTCTTCATGTTCAGAAGATTTTAAATTCTTTATTTTCAATAAAAGACTTTGTTGTTGTTTTAAACCAGTCTCCCTACACACACACACACACACACACACACACACACACACACTCACACATGGTTTTTTAGTTCATACAGGAATGAAATGAAGTATGACTTACTATGCAGTGTGGTTACATGTGTGTCAATCAAAAGCATTTTATTACATTTTACTACATGTTATTCTGTTTGCTTTTTATCCATTAGAATAAATAACTAAAAACTGATCAGAATGATGTCATTTCTGTTATAAAAATAAGTAAGCATATTCATTGCAGCTAGTTTTGATCAGCACCATAGAAAAAGAAACTTTACAAATCCATTTGATATGCTCTTTGAATGACATTCATTGAGGATCTGAAATGGTGATACTTTCTATTGTTGCCTCATTTTTCTTGGATTAAAAACATTTTAATACCCCTTCAGCGGAGATAAATGTGATGGCTAGAATAGACATAGTTAAACAACTGACTGTTCTAAAAACTTGTGTTTTCTGACAGTGTTTCCCATTGTGATTGGTTTCTTTGAGCTCTTACAATTGCTTGATGGCTGTTCTGTATGTTTTGGCAAGTATTCATTGACTTTTGACAGATTGAGGGAATTAAAATAGAAAGGAGGTAATCCATAAGAATGTCTTTGCTGTGTTATTTTACAGGGAGGAGCTTTATCCCATGAGCATGCACTTTCTTTTCCCTTAATGGTCATCTGGCTCATTTCTTCATCTTCTGGGTTTTACCCAATCTGCAGTTCTTACTAGGACAAAACATCCTTTTAAATCAATGAGAAATAAAGCTCAAATAAGAATGCTGACTCAGGCCCATTAACACCATCTTAATTATACATCGAACACACAATCCTGTTCACAGTAGACCTTTCTAAGACCTAACCATAGTATTAAAAAAAAAAAAAAAACACAGTCGACTACAGGAGTAGGAGAGTCTCCATAAAAATTTTATTTATCTTGAGAGGCAAATGCTTATTCATTGCATAACATTTGAAAGACACAGCTACTTCCTCCTTCGCCCTCCCTAAACATCATTAGATACTTAGAAGACGGACGATTCTTCATGGTGTCAGTAAAGTCTGTGAGAGGGTTGGTTCTTCAGAGAGATAAGAACCTAAACGCTTTACCTAAACCGGATGGAGGACAACTGTGTCCAGGCTAGAGTGTGGAAAGTGTGGGGTGAAGTGAGAAGAGCTTGAGATGAATTACTGGAATGGGAAGAGAACACGCAGGTGTCTGTAGACCTCGATCCCTAGGACTTGAAAAGCCCGGGGGTACCCGGGGTACTCATCCCCCCCATCCGCCTCCCGCGTATCCATTTCAGTTTTGAGGCCATGTCTGTCGATGTGCACGTTTGGCCTGATGGTAGTTTTCTGGCAGCAGCGCGTGTTTTGTGTCCGCCCGCGGGTGCGTGCCCGTGTAGGAGAAGGGATGAATTACATGTGCAAGACGTCTGCATCGCAGGCCTCCGCGCCCTTCCCGCCCGGCCTCCAGTCCGTCGGGACGTGGTTACATCCATCACTTGGTGTTAGAACCACTCGGAAAAGACCTGGCTGGCCGGATGCCCGATTGTGGCTCCCAGGGGTGTTGGAGCTCAGGGAAGGAAGCCTGTACCATCTCTCTCGGAAAGGGGGAGGGAAGGAGCAGAACACCAAGGCCTCCAGCGAAGGGGGGAGGTGGGAGAGGGGGAGGAGGGTTCTCCCTGCCGCGGGGCTGGTGGGGTTCGCAGCAGGGTTCCAAGATTCCACCCGCGAGCGCGCGCCAACTTCAGCACCGCGGACAGCACCAGCTCCCGCCCCAGGGCCCAGCGCGCGCGCGCCTCCCTCCTCCGCCCCGCGGCCGCCGCCGGAGGAACCCCGGCTGGTCCCAGCCCCGCGAGGGCAGGGCCGAGAGATTCTGACAGCCAGAGAGGGGGGGTTCGGACAGGAGGAGCAGGAGGCGGCGGCGGAGGAGGAGGAAGCAGAAGAGGAGGAGGAGGAAGGAAGGAAGGAGGAGGAGGAGCCGGGGAAGGGAGGGCTTTCCCTCCGCCCGCCCGGGTTCGCAGGCGCCAGCGGCGGTGGCGCCGTCCCCGGCTGTCGCTCGGCCCAGGCGGCTGCAGCTCGCTCCGCCAGCGAGGGAGATGCGCGGCGGGGCGGCGCGGGGCTGACTCGGAGCGTGCGCCGCGGGGCCCTCCCCGCACATCCCCGAGCTCCCGGTGTGAGCTGCGGGGCGGCTGCGGAACCCGCGACCCGAGCGCTCGCCCCGGTCCCCGCGGCTCCGGCGGCGCTCTCCCGCAACCTCCGCGCTTCCGATCTCCCCCAGACCCCCGACGTCTTTTGGAGAAACCCCCCCTCCCCAAGAAGGAGAGGGCGGGGTAGGTGTCAGCCTCCTCCTCCTCTCCCATCCCATCCCCTCTCTCTCTCGCTCTCTCTCTCTCTCTGTCTCTCTCTCTCTCTCTCTCTTTCCCTCCCCACTCCATTTCCTTCTTCTTGATCTGCATTTCTCCCCCCCCCCCCACACCCCCCTTCCCGCGCCATTGGTCTGGCTTTGAGATCCAAAGCAGAGAAGGAACGCGGAGCCTCTCCAGGGCTGTTTCCCCCCTCCTAGCCCCGAAGAAGTGGAGCCGGGCGCGGGGCGCGCGGGGCGCGCGCGCGCGGGCGGGGCTGGGCTCGCCCCCCTGCTCTTCTGAGGACCGCCCAGCTCGCTCGCCCGCCCGCCCGGAGGAGCCCACGGGAGAGGCGGACCGCAGCTCCGCAGCGAGCCCGCGTGGAGTACGGCTCGGCCGCCGCCGAGAGCGGAAGGAAGGATGCGGGCGGCCGCTCGGGCCGGCGGCGGAGCGGCGGCGCTCGCGCTCTGGATGGTCAGCAGCTGCCTCTGCAGAGCCTGGACGGCCCCCTCCGCGTCCCGTAAGTAGCCCTGTGCGTGCCCGCGCGCCCTCGCTCGGCACCCGGCCGCCGAGCCCCGCCGGGGAGTGCCGCAGTGAGGTCCCCCCCCCCCCCACCGCCCCGGCCCGGGATGCAGCAACTCTGAGATGCGTTCAGATCTCACTCCTCGGTCCCCCTGTCTGTCCCCCCTCCTCCCCGCCGCCGCCACCACCACCAACCAGCCCTTGGTACGTGGGCATCGCGGCCGTCACGCACTCGCGACCACTGCAGCGGTGCAAACTCCAAAAGCCCAACGCGCCGCGCGCCCGCTGCGTGTGTGTGTGTGTGTGTGTGTGTCTGTGCTTGTGTCTGTGTGTCTGTGTGTCAGTGTGTGTGTGTATGTGTGTGTGTCTGTGAGGGGCAGAGGGGCTGGGGATGCCCCTACTGTGTCTGAAAGTTGTGTCTGGTGTTGGAGATGGCCTGGCCCCCCGGAGGGCCCGGCGGCTTTGGTGGCAGCTCCTGGGGAGTTATTTGTGTGGATGGAGCCCAGGGCGCCTCACTGGAGGCCACACTGGAGTCCCGTGGCCAACATAAGTTTCATGTGTTTAGGTACGGTTCTCACTTCAATGAGCGCGGGTCTAAGCACCCAAGAGCAGTGTGTATTAAACAGGCACCTATATAGATCTTCTCTCCTCCTCTTTCTTCCTATTTCCTCCTCCTCCTCCTCCTCCTCCTCCACTCCTCTTCATCCTTAAAAAGTTAATATCTACTTATGAAAAGGAGTCAAAATATACAGCGAAGGCAACTTTGTAGCTGAAATTCTTTTCCTTCCTCGTGAGTCTGAAGTAATGAGCAAGTCTCAAGCCATGCCAGGACTAAAACGTTGTTCATGTAGTAGCGAAGAGATTTCTAGACATGAAGAGATTGCTTCAAGGAATTTTGAAGTCATGATACTGCTCATAATGTCTATCTGGTTTTTTTTGGTGGTGGTGGTGGTGGTTGTTTTTTAAAGGAGCCTTGTAAACAACTCCATTAGTGTTTGGGGAGGTTTGCAATAAGTAAATAAAAATAACGGTAACCTCCTGCATTGCTTTAGAAGTGCGTGCTTCTGAAGTGGAATGGTTGTTCCTTTGGCTCACAAAGAGTTAAGCAAAAGAAAGATTGTCTGGAGGCCTTAGGCTTGTATTCAGAAGCACTTACTATTTCTGAGGAGGAATAAATAAGTTAGCAAACATTTATCATAGCGATGCCGCAATTCATAAAAAGTGTTTTCCTTTTGGGGGGAGGGAGAAGTTTAGTATCTTCGTACTCAGTATAACTGATGCAGTCCACTCTCGGCAGCGTTCGGACATCCAGATGCACCTTTGCCTATATTTTAATACTAGTGTTCTCATTACAGTGTACAGATTGATAAGAGTGCCAATGATAAAGACCACTGGAAGGATGGTCAAGCATCTTCTACAGAAAGATATCATTATGAGTATCCTGGCATATCTTCCAAACTTCTGTATTAGCTTTCCTTCCCTTGAAGTGTGGAGAGGTAGTGATATAGCTTGTAATTAGCTTAAAAACAAAACTCTCTCTCTCTCTCTCTCTCTCTCTCTCTATATATATATATATATCCTCAAAAAGTTATGTATTTTAATGTTTGCCAATTTTACATTTAACTTGACATTTTGATGACACAAGGCTTGAAGTTGATATATTTAAAGAAATGCTTAACACTGTATCCTTGGGAAATTCTTCTAATGAGATTTAAGTTTTCACTTCAAGGTCTGGTTACACAGAAAGTGCTGCCACTTTTCCTGGGGAATAAACTCATTCTAAGTGAAATTTGTGATCTAGCCTGATTGTTGGCCCTGATTTCCTGGAGCTTTGCAGGTTTCTGTGTTTCTTCTTCCTGCGTTCACTATGGGTCCACAAGAGAGTTTATATAGTCACTGGACTGATGCTTTCCAATGATAAAATAGTTGTTGTTATTTCAGAAATATGTACAGAGTTTTTTTTTTTTTTACTGCTTAGATTTTGGTGGAAGAGAATGTAGAGGCCACTACTTTTTAATCACTTATAATTGATTGCTAAGATTTATTTAGATCTTTTTTCTCTATTGTTTAGACTCATTGTAATAGACTATCATTTCATTTAACTTGAATGTGCAACCGAAACCCAAAGTTAACCCAAAGCTGTGAATGAACTAAATAACAGGAATGCTGTGGTTCTTTACTAATGAGGAGCCTCTTCCTGTTTTCAGTTCTTTGTATTTCAGGTTTAGTTGTATACAAATGTTCAATTACATTATGTATAGCTCTAAGAGAGAATATGGTTGGTAAAGCTGTTCATGTTATAGACATTCACTGGAGAAAACACGGTAACTCCATAAGTCTAAGACAATGAACAACTCACCAGAAGAGGTCATCATGAGACAAAAAGTAGCAGGAAAATCTCAACATTTTTCTTTACACATGGGAAATAAGATGACTGTGCTAAAAATTTTTGCTATCAAGTAACTTTTTAATATGCTGGGTCTTTTCAGAAGTATCTTTAACACATTTTTAAAATAGCATAACAAATTAACTTCAAGTAGACTTGCTAACGGCATGTTTCTTTCTTTCTGTTCTGGAAACAGAGTGGAAAGCTTTATAGTATATCTTGTAGAAGTAGAGTAGAATAAATTCAAAGAAGCTCATGGTTTGGATTAAATTGAAACATGATCTATGTCTTTGTGATAGGAGAATGAACCGTGGCTGACTGATCCAATTGCTTGCTTTCCCGTCTTGTAAAAGTGCACGGACAGGGCACATGAAGGCTTTAGGGGATGGTTTACTGCTGGACTTGTATTTATTAGCTTGTGTTAGAGAGCCTGACTGTGCAGTTCTCACCGATGAGAGGGTTGAGTCAGCACTTAATGAGTTCAACTCTTAAAGGTTACTGGATTATTACTTAAATAGGTGTGCTCTGATAAAGGGCAACTTACATTATATTGCATAGCTATTCACCTATAATTTCATTACTGGTCATATATGGGAAATATGCTTTCCATTGATCCAAATAATCTCTAACAAATATGCTGTATCCATGTACACATGCAAAGGTGTTTTGCATATATATATATATATACACACACTAGTGTAATTCCTTAAATATGTAAATATGTAATATTATTTCATATGGACTAGGGATCACATGTTCCTGTTATGGAAAATATGCATACACTTATATTTTTAATGTGTCATTTAGAGAGTTTAACTTATTTACAAGTTCCAAGTTTGGTCTCCTCCTAAACAAGCATTTTTTGTAGTTAATGCAGCAATAGAAAAACAGCAGTTACTGTCCAATTATCTTATCTCAATTTATATACTCCATCCAAAAGATGCTTTTGAAACATAATATTTAAATGAATTAAGAAACCAACATTATCAGTTTATATTGAGTTTGATTGTAGTCCAAACACAGGACTTTGGAAGTAGGACTTGTCTTAGGAAGTAGAAATTAAGCTTAAAATGTGCTTTCAGCCACTAAAATTCACTGGTAGATAAACGGTACTACATTAGTTCATGCAAACTAATAAAAAGAAAATCATTATGACTAGGTGTGGTGGTTCATGCCTATAATCCTATCTACACAGGAAGCTGAGATTTGAGGTCACTGTTCAAAGCCAACCTGGGCAGAAAAGTCCCTGTGAGACCCTTATCTCCAATAAACTACTCAAAAAAAGCTGGAAGTGAAGCTGTGGCTTAAGTGGTAGAGCGTTAGCCTTGAGACAAAGAGGCTCAGGGACAGAACCCCGGTCCTGAGTTCAAGCCCCAAGATGAGGAAAAAGTTAGATAATCTTGGTTTCACAGGCACTATTATCCTTCAAGTATTATTCTTGGTTTTACAGGCACTGTTATCCTTCAGGTATTATTCCCCTATTGTCAATGCATGACAAAATTAAAGAAAGTATACACATTTAATATAGTTTTTAAAATTAATCTTTACCTTCAAACATACAGCATCACATTTTTAGATGATATTTTCAAATTTGTTTAATTTGCATTATATTTTTAAATACATCCCCAATGTGTTTTAAGTGGCATCAGCTTTCAACTTCCAAGTTCTTTAGTTGGCATCAAATTCAAAATTAGTTGTCCTAATTGATAAATACTTGTAGGGAAAAGTTAATCTTTAAAGTTAATAGGCCTTCTTGTCTCATGGGTACAATTCTGTTATTGGAAGATAATAAAAGAGCATTATGTGTCTGTACTTGACTTGATTTTCTTTTTGAAAATTAGATGTGATTGTTTTTATTTGTTGCAAATTCTATACTAAAAAAAAAGCAGAAACTCGGATTAGAAATTCTTCATTAATATCTTGTTTGCAATTTCCTTTACTCTTCTGAGCTATGTGGAGACTCAGCTGTAGGTATTGTGTGAGTAGTGATGGGTATTAATAGGATGAAGATAATAAAACATGCACTTCCAAGTATCTCAGACTGGATTTGAGAAATGTTTACTATGTGCAAAGTTAAACAACAGAATATATGACAATAACCATAAACCTATGGTAGCATATGAAGTAAGTGTTTGCTATCTACATTGTTATCTGGAATTGAGCCCCATCAGTGTTCCCAGAAAGAAACACATTCTAAAATTGATATACAAAACTTAAGGTGTATTTCTATAAGCATCTAACTTGACTTATAGAAGGAACTTCTATATTGCATTTTGATCTTTTAATGTGCAAGAATAAAGATGAAATGATCTCTATAAAGTTTCTAACATTTTAAATGAAAAACTTAAAAGACTAACACCAGCAGAGTAATCAGCAGAAATATTAACATTTTCCATCTTCTGGGATCTACAACATTTGCATATTTTAGTTCTGACCAACAAAAGATGTTAGGTTGTGGGATCTGGGGGTAGGGACATGGTTCACAGGGTAGATTGTCTGCCTATCCAACAAGTGTGAGGCTCTGAATTAAAATACTAGGACTGGGGGAAAACGTGCTGGAATGTGGAGGACTTAACTCTTTCTCTAAGAAGTTCCTTTTTTGTAAAAAAAAA